AAATTTGTAGTGTTACTGAAAGTTATCCTTCAGTTTTGTAACTCCTATGGTATGTGGAGTATGTCAACTAGTTGTAGAGTTACAGCTGCTCTCTTTACAAGATGGCTTCTCTTTGCACCAAATATTTGCCTGAGGAAGGTCCAGAACTGAAACATTGCTACTAAATGTGTTTTTTGCAAGTTAGTGTGTGGGAGCCTGTTTAAAACTATTATATATGCTCGTGTCTCTCCTACACGTCTGCCTCATACAATGAATTTGCAAAGAATTTTATTGTCTTGTATTGTAAGAAAAATAACCGGCTATCTTTCTGTGTTCTTTTAACTGCAGCGGAGATTTACCATATCTACCCCTGGTACTGCTACTTGTTTGCACTGGCCATCTTCGTGACCCTTACCAACCAGATTCACAAGTGGTCGCACACATACTTTGGCCTGCCTCGCTGGGTTGTGTTCCTACAGGACTGCCACATCATAATGCCCCGCAAGCACCACCGCATCCATCACGTCTCGCCTCATGAGACGTACTTCTGCATCACTACAGGTTTGTCTTTATTTCCTCGGGGCGGTGGGGGGGACTGCAGATAAAAATACATAGTCTTTTGAAGATGAAACCACACAGTTTACGGGATGTGAGCCAAGCAGATTTGACATTAAGCGTTCTTCTCCTGCTCTCCGTCTCTCTCCAGGTTGGCTGAACTACCCTCTGGAGAAGCTGGGTTTTTGGAGGAACCTGGAGGATCTCATCCAGAGTGTGACGGGAGAGAAGCCAAGGGCGGACGACCTGAAATGGGCTAAAAAAGTCAAGTAACGCCGCAGGCTAACTGCACCCTACCTCAGAAGATGCTGGCTCCGTCCACGCTTCTCATCCCCTTTTTTGCCTCACTTAAACTGTAATTCATAGAAAGAAAAACTAACAGTTTCTGATGCCATAGCTTTAAGTCTTGCACATTTTTTCTGTTTTTTAAAAGGAGGGCTTTGTTGATGATGGAATTTTTCATAACTCACTCATGGAGATAATCGTCTCAGATTGCAATATATCCTTTGTATATCTAACACAACTCATCACTTTTTTAAGGCTTTTGCGTAGAAGAAACAGACATATACATTTGAAATCACTTTCCAAGGAGATTAAACGATTCCCCCTGCGTCAGAAAGTTCAAACAGTCCGAAAGAAATAATACTTGAAAGAATGAACACTCGCTTTTTTTCTCCTCCAGAGCCACAACTGTTCATTCGGAGGGTCGATCAATCACATTATATTTAGCACAACGTTATTTTTTGCTCATCAGTCGTTACATCTCCACCTTTTCAAGGGTCTACGTCATGTGCGAGTGATAAAATTGGATTTAGGCCATGGTAAGAAGTCGGACTGAGGTGACAAAGGATTTCTGGATGCTTTACCAGTGGTGACAGCTAAAGAACAAATTGATCAATTCTGTTACATTTTTTTGTCCTATTGCACATTTGGGTTCAGTGACAAGCTTTTTTTTTTTTAAAGGAGAGCTGATGACAAGATACACAAAAATCTTTTTCACAACTAACAAATTCCCAGTGTTGTTTCTAAAATGCAGCCATATTTAATATTTTAATCGTGGATCAGAGTTGCTGACTACAGTTACAGAGGAAGAGTCTGTGCCACCACCAGGATGCTAAAGGAAAACCGACTGGTCTGCTTTGATTACTGCCAGATCCTAAATTGGCATTTTGATTGGAATTTGGTGTTTTTCAGATGTGGTCTGGCCATTGAAACAGTTCAATCACTGACAATAGCACAGACACAGAAGCCAAGTAATTTTCAAGCTAAATAATTTGATCTGAGGTGTATGTAACTGTAGTCAGCATTGATGTTAGGTCTTCAGATAATCTAAGCAAACATGCTTTTGTTTTCTCATTGTGTCTGCTGGGTTAGTCTGGCCCTAATGAGTAGTCTTTGCAGACGATCATGTGTCCTCTGTAAAAAGCACTTTTTGTTATTATTTGACTCCATTTTGTAGGAAAGAGGCGCATGCAGTTTTGTCAAGCTGCCTTACACACCGCAGATGCAGTACTTTTCTTTTCTTTTGTTTGCAGCACTTTGTCGTGTTGCTATACTAATTCTGTCATTCTGGGGTTTGTGTTAATCAGACACAGATACCCCAAAGTTATGTGCCAGCTGTGTATAACACTGTTTTCACTCCTTGCGTCTTTTGTATTATGGGAAGGAACTGTCAGATTCAGAGCGTAACATTCCCGATGAGTAATGTTGCCACTGTGTACCTTCTCGGTAACTGTGACATACTGACCTGGTGATGTTTCAAGGGCTTCAGTGAAGGCTGACGATCCAGGAATTTCTTCACTCCTATCGATGAGATTAACTGGTTGAGCGTTTTTTTTTTTTTTAATGCTTTAGTCAGTAATTTGTAAATGTATTGTACAGCAAATAACTATGCAGTGAAATAAGAGGCCCTTAACTATACGTCTTAACTCATCGAATTAGGTTAAAATGCCTTTCTTTTTCTAATAGTTTACACATATTTTCTTAGTTGGAAAACTGGAGTTCAGAAATTTAGCTACTTAAACTGCATGATAAAATTACTTTTACTAATTAAGATGTCACTTACGCAGACGTAAGAATGCGTGCATGCATATAGCATGTCGGCTTGTGCAAGCAATACACTGGGTCACCAGCTTTCCTTTGAGTTTGTGTAAAGCAGACGCTAAATAAGGAGGATTGTGGTCGCTCAAGATAAAAATTTAATTGAACTGCTTTCAAAACAGTGACCCCAGACTTTGACCAAATGGTCCCAGGTTTGAACCACCAAAATGTTATCTTCATTCCAAGGAAATCCTGGTCACGGTTTTCAAGTTTAAATGGAAGAAGCTAACCTTGCTGTTCAGTTGGGTTGACCAGATTAAAGGCTTATTTGTTAAGCTCCTGGTGTTAGAGTCAAAGTAGACAGTTTAATGATAGAAGTAATAGTTAATTTTTTCAGCCAAAGTTATGCTTTATGTTATGTAATATTCCAGTTTTTGAATCCTTCATACTTGATTATATAAACGATTATTCACCATAGGTCAACAGCAGGAGTACACTGCAGATTGCATAGTGCTTGTAGAGTATTGTGAGAAGCAGTTTTGTGTGTGCTTGGTAGTGTAACATATGCTGGTAAATGGATGGCATTATATGTGACAGCATCAAAGTTTAAGGCCTGTGTAAGTTCTACTCCTGTAGTTCTTCTTGATCAGTATTAGGCAAAATGTTGTTTGTGCCCCAATAAACTGCAGTCAGTGGACAAATTGGAACTTTTAGCAGACGGCTTTCTAAATAAGAATTTTGGCATTGGCTCTGCTGGATGTTGTGGCGCTTCAGTAAATTGCTTTTTGTGATCTTTTAAGGGTAATGACAATTTTAAGGATGTTTTGTGCTTTTGTAAATCAGCAAAATAGGATAATAGCGAAGGGTAATGGATGAAAATACTGAACATGATACGCCATAATCAGTTTGGAGATTGACAAAAAGGACAACTTTACATGAAAAATATATGGTGAGCTCAAAAGGAAACCAAACCATTACAATCTTTGAGAAAGACTCGCTATTATTGTTATTTATGGCTCATAGAGGGAAGTCTGGTGAGTTTAACATCTAACATGCATAAACTTTATTCTTATTCTCCAGATGATCTCAGGATTGTGGTTAGAGTGATTAAAGTAGTTTAATATAAATTTGTGGTAAAGTTAAGACTGTTTGGTAATATATCAAAGTTGTTTAAATCACTCATTTACATTGGATTTTGTTGGCCAAAGTAGTCAAATGATTTTATATGCATTATCTGTTCTATTGTAGCCATAAATCAGTACGGTTAACTTGGCCTCTTGTTATTAAGGTAGAACTTGTGATTGAGCTGTGTTTGGTTTTTCTGCTTAGAGACAATGAGCTTTCATCAGTGGATTTGAAGGGTATTTTGTGACAGTGTGTGGTTAATTATATATTTTACCACTGGAAACAATTTTAGTCAAAGCAAATGAACTTATTAAGTGGGGTGGGCAGTTGTTGTTGGTATGTTTGACATGCTGTGTTGGAATCACTCTTGTAATAATCCTTGGACTGTTTATTGAATTGCCTTATCCTCTCCCTGATTGATTCACTGTACATCTTGCCAACGATGTGGGAAAACAGTTTATTGACGACTTTAAATTGCCCTTCATTTGACTCTCACTTCTTCACAGGCAAGCCCATGTGGATGTTGTTGTTGGTTATGTACACTGGTGGTGATGGAGTTTTAGATATCAGAATAATGCCTTGATGCCTTTTTGTTGTCTTCCATTTGGGAGGCTTACAATGTATATATTAAACTGTATTTCTAAATAAACTAATAAACAACTTTATATGTGTTTTCTTTCTTGAATACCAGGATAATGCAGCTATGTAATTAGGCTGTATAATTTGTATTTTTGCTTTCCTCTCTGCCTGCCTGCCTTATCTAACTTTATCTCAGTTTTAGGAATCGAAGGCCAGTCTGACGTGTCATAGTAAGAACAGCACAGGTGTAAATAATAAAACTGAATAAAATGATTATGCTTAAAGTTAGAAGTAACACTTGTTATTCACTACTGTGACAGGTCAATATGACTGCTGTGAAAAAGATCTATCAATAATTAACCAATGACCTAGCACTTGGAAAATTAGCCCCCATTTTGATTTGTCACTTTTTGCAACCTTTAACACTCAATATGTAGAGTTCATCCATACTTGTCACACACCTATCACTTCACAAACCATACTTCTCATATAAATATTAATAATTATTTTGTGTATTTCAAATGAAGTCACATTAACTTGATTTGTATCATGTCTCTCCTCACTTTAAAGTCTTTGTGACACTACTGAGCAGCTAAATTTTCCGGCAGCGCTGAGTATCCCTTAATTTAATCTCAAATAGTCGCATAAATAATCTGTAGGCGCAACAAAGGAAGCTATACTTTGCGTCTCTTACACGCGCACGCACCGTTGGCCACAATGGCAAATATACGTGCGCGCTCCCGCTGTGTAGCGACAAGATGGCGGTCGCCGCCGGATCAGGTAAATGACTGAGACATATTAATCACCACGAGAGTCTGCCGTTGAATAATCGGCTCAATGACTTTTCATATGTAGCAGTTGGGCTTTATAACGAGGTTAATTATCTGCCGAGCAGCCCGCTGTGTGAGAGGATACAAGCTACGTTAAAGCTGCAGCTGCTGAAGAGAATGAATAGGAAGCGATGCTACTAGCTAAGCTAGCGCAAGTTAAGTTAGATGAAAGGACAACGAGATGCAGCATGACTGTTGATAAAGGAATTTCATGCTGTTTAATAGACGTGTAGTCATTTAACGCGGGCCATGTGCATGTACACAGCAGGTGTAGCTTATTAGCTTTCACTAACTTGTTGTAATTTAGGTGTCTGACGCTAGTGAACCACAACACCGCTATCCTAACGGGGAACGCTAGCTTAATCGCGACATTGGATTATTTGGTGACGCTGAAAACGGACGTGTGACAAACCGGGTCGGTAGGGCTACGTTAATGTCATCAATAAATGTCGGTGCATCCGCAGTCAGCCTTCCTGCAAGGCTGTTTAACGGCAACAATGACGGTACGTTTTCAGAGATTGTGAGTCGCAGCTAATGAAGAAAACATGATCCGTACTGAGTTTCAGACAGTCCTCTGGAGATGCCGGTGAACGGGAGCTAAACTGCTGCACCAGCTGGCAGTGTGACTGTGTTTGTTGGGTGTCTCAGTTAACAGTGCAGTCCCATCGTGTCTCACTGCAGAGGCCAAATGATGCAGCATCGTCGAAACCAGATGCTAAGTCAGAGGACACGAATAACACCTGCCATGATGAAATCTGCTCAGCTGAGGCGATCCTTAATTTCCTGTCTGGTTGTGTCTGAGTCATACCTTTGTAACTGCAAGTCATTGCTCTGGCAGAAGCGTTTGTAAATTTGACAGTTGTGTTGAGCTGGATGCTGTGTGTTGAATGTGTGTGCATGACAGCCTTGTTGTGTGCCTTGTTTGTCCACAAACAGGCGTTCAAGTTCCTCGCAATTTCCGGCTCCTGGAAGAGCTGGAGGAAGGTCAGAAGGGTGTGGGAGATGGAACAGTGAGCTGGGGTCTGGAGGATGACGATGACATGACTTTAACACGATGGAGAGGGGTGATCCTTGGCCCTCCAAGGGTTAGTGGTACCATTTTTAACACCTCTTGAGAGCCTAGTAGCAAGCATTCAAGGAGCAAAGCTAAAAGGTTGACAGACAAATATCTCAGATTTGATCTGTGCATGCATTCTGTCATCATATCAATCAGACATACAGTGAAAAGGACAACAACTTCCTAGGGCGACACCAACAGCTGAATCCAAATTCCTTGTATGTTGTGTACGTACTTGGCCATTAAAGCTGATTCTGATTCACAGAAGCACTAATTTTCAACTAGCTGAGCACTACTTAGAATGATGTCTTAATGAATTAAATTAAATCTCAAGGCAGATGCAATGTAAAATACATGAAAAAGTGAACCATGGGTCAATTGATTGTTGGTCTGCATCTGATAACCAACATTTGACAGATTATCAGAATTGGTTTTTTTTTTTAAAACTAATTCACAATAAAATAAATGAATTAAAAAATGCATTACTTGGGTTCTAATGCAATCGCATCTTTCTCTGTCACAAATGTGGTCTCAATCAGTGTTGCACCCACAGCAGCATCTGATTGCTTCCATGTCACAAGTAACAGCAAATAATCACCGAAGGATCAGTGTTGAAAAGTTGAAAAGAAAAAAGGCAACACAGTTTTGGGCTAAAGTTTCTGTTGTTCTAAATTTAGACCCCAAGATTTTCGTTTTTTACTGCAAATGTACAAAAGGAATTGCATTACAAATGATCTGTATCAGCCCTAAAAAAAAAAAAAACTACCACAATGCTCAGCTCCTAGCAGCAACACCATGAAATCATCCCAGTAAATATGAAATATTACATAATAACATTGCAGAAAACAAATACAGAAAATTAAATACTGATCAATCTGCCTGTTATGTTTTCAATTGACTAGTAGTTTTAGCTATCAAATGTTAAAAAGTATTGAAAACTGTAAATAAATAAATAAATAAATAAAAAATCCCAGAGTCCATCACAGATTAAATTTCTTCTTTGAAATGAAATATTTTTTTTTAGCATAAATGTATTAAATACTTATCTGTGTGAGAGCAAGATCCTGTTAAAACTTAAACAGATTTTGTCTGGTTTGACTTCCTTTTGAAGGCGAGACTAGTTTCAGTGTCACTCAATATGCATCTGTAATGTTTTTACCTTTTACCACTGTTGTTGGTCAGTGACCTTTTTCTGAACACATTTGACTCAGCTGTTTCGTTTTTTGTTTTTTTTTGCTTTCCAGAGTTTAAACCAACATTTCTACAGTTTCTTTGTAATTGGGTAAAAACATAGATTCATTTTAAGGGTTATATGTTGTATTTGGGGTATTTTCTGTTATAGATTCCACATGGTATTGTGAATATGCTGAAAGATGTGTGCTGTTTTTTGATGTGTAGGATACTGTCTTCTCACTTCTCTCTAACTTTCTCCATTTATAGACAAGCTATGAAAACAGGATGTACAATCTGAAAGTTGAATGTGGGCCAGGATACCCAGAATCACCACCGTTTGTCAGATTTGTGACGAAGATAAACTTGAATGGCGTGCACACCTCCAACGGCGTGGTATGTAAATCTCCTAAACCCGTGGTTGTTCTTTTCCTTTTATTTCTCAGATTTGGATGCCTCATCTGTCAGAAGTCTTTAAAATCGATGAGAATGTTGCTGATTGTGTTCATGCCAAGCTGGCTATTACACTTTAAGAAAGAACAGCACGTGGCTCATGTTCTTGTGTTGTGGAGCACTTGGGAGTATGTGCATTCTGCTTAGATCATGTTAGATAAGAGCGGCATTTGTAAAAAACATTCAAGGTGCACAGGATGAAAGGAACACTTATTTCTATGACTGTCATGTTTGTTCTGTACTCTGGTCAGCCCAGATAAGCAAGTTCCTGTTCTAAGTGCATGCTTGAATCCTTGCAAATGCAACCTTTGCATTAACTGTAAGACAATCTTTAAATATGTGCACATCTACATTTTCATTAACATATTTCAGGGTTTTACACATGGACATTTTTGGCAGATTTTTTTACCTGAAAAAAATATGGTAGTATGACCAATTGTCTTAACTTGAATTGGGACCAAGAAACAGTATCAGATCCACCTTAATGAGCTGGTTTTGGATGGATGTCATTCAAACTGTAGCCAAAACTGTATGCTGTAAGGCCAACCTGACAACACAAAAGAGCAGTGGAGAACAGGCTTTTCCTTACTTCTTCATGAGTGAATTCTTCCTTCAGTTGTTCAAATGTGGCAAGGCATCTATTGTTCCCCATTTTGCAACATTACCCTGCAATGTATGGAGGAAAGCTTTATTTAAACACACTGCAGACTGATGCAAGAGTAAATCAGTTTAAAAGCAGTTAGATCATGAGGGTTGAGGACAACTGAAGTCAGCTCTGAACTCAGACAAAACTAGTGTGAACTGGCTAACAAATCTACAGCCACTTTATATAGAAGCACTCTTAGGGTTTTTATTTTTTTGAGGCCTTGGATTTTTTAAAAACTGTTTTGCAGTGGGAGTGCAGCGTATTTACACGATGGAAAAAGTGCCAGCAGCTTGACGAGGAGGAGAATGCTTAGTGGGTTTTTTCCTAGTTGCTGACAGTTAAAAAATGTTCAACTTTGGGTAAAACACAATCACAGTGGAGGAGGGGTGGGACAAACACCACACCGTCAGGCCGTTACATTCTACTTGTACAAGTGGTGAACAACTGCTCAACGACAATAGAGGAGAAGATAGTACTGCTACTCTCAGAGTATGACATCCCCAGACTACCATAACATTAATATGAAAAATAATATCAGAAGGAACATTTCCTTCGCCGCAGGTCTACCAGGTAACACATTACTTTCGCAGATATTCCACATTATAGCAACAGAAGCGTGTCTGCTGGGGGAAGAAAAAAAAATCACTCTACTTCCAAAACCAGCTGGGCGTTTTCAGAAAAGTGCCTGACCTTTTCAGCTGGCAAAGTATGCTTTGGCAGACACACAGACTTTCAGATCAGAAACCCAACGATTGTTATAGCTGTCAAATTTCAGTAAACCTAGACTTTTGAGCTGGAAAAACTTAAATATGTTAATATTACACAGTGCTACTGCCCCTCTTTATCACGCAGAAGACAAGGATTCAGGTTACCAGAGGTACCACAAGAGAAGACTGCACCATTCCTATTTAAAGAAGCGCTTTCAGTCAGTCAGCATTTTCTGTAACAGCATATAGGAATGGAATTTACTACCAGTGAATAGTGTAGAACTTTATACCATTCTTTTACTGATCAATCGAAACTGGCTCATCAATCTAACAGCTGCCTACTGCCCTTCTCCACTGCCTTCCTGTCATCTGTTTTGCATAGTTTGTTTGCTGGGTGTGCATTGCAGTGCTTCGGGTATTGGCCTGTATGCATTATCTGGATGTGTTGAGTCATTTTTGTTCTAACTTCAGGTAGCAGGGCCAACTCTTGTTCATTTAGTCCTTTTTCTGTTAATCAGTGAAGGTTTATGAGCTTCACAGGGTGTGACATCGCCTCCCTTCTGTCTCTCTGCTCATGCAGGTTGACATGCATGCAGTGAATGCGCTGGCCAAGTGGCAGAACTGCTACAGCATCCGGATGGTGCTGCTGGAGCTGCGACGGCTCATGACGTGCAAGGAGAACATGAAGCTTCCTCAGCCACCCGAGGGCCAGATCTACACCAACTGAGCCCCTGCTACTTTTGCCTCCATCTTTTTCCTCCTCATTCCCCAACACTCTGTCTCTCTCTCTCTGTTTTGCTTTCATCCCTTTATCCCCATCCTCCGCCATGTGACATTCCACCTCCCGCCAACACCTTTGCTGAGCGCAGACACACACATGCACACACACTCATACGCAGACAGAAGAAGACTGAAGAACACCATAGCAGATACTTAGTCACACACACACACACACACACACACACACACACCCACACACACACACACACTGCATACGCACACACTTATTGAGCAGTCATGAAAGTCATTCCAGGTCCCGGCCCCTCCCTCTCCCATCACTGGAGCTCTGGGTGGACTCGAGTCCCCAGTCCACACCAGATACGATCATTCGAATACTGTACATCTTACTAATCTTTTTTTATTATTATTTGTTAAAAATGCAGATTGTACAATAACATAAATAATCTTATTGAGTGTACCTCTTTGTGTGTTGCCTTTTTGTATCGTTAAAAACGGCCACTTTACATTACTTCACATAGCTCACCAAACGTGTGGTCGCTCTGAGTTAGCAGATAATCAACCATCAAGGTGTGCATATAAAACCTATTGCCCAAAACACATTTAATTTGTCAATAATTATTTTTTATCATGTGGCCAGATGAAATATTTTTTTCAGTGTTTTGACATAAGCTTTCCAAGCAGTCCCATAGTAAATGCATGACTGCAGTTCAACAAGAGGGTGTCTTTGTCATATGGCTTTTTTTTGTGTGTGTGTGTAAGATTTTATCCAAAGTGAACATTGTGTATCTATACCACTATATCTAATCTTCATAGTAGTATAGTATGCATATCTACTGTAGGTCTGCAGTTAAACTGTGCTTGAAAATAGAAGTGAAATCAGCTACCTCTTTTGGTCCTGTGTACATTCAAAGCAGTTATCTAAGTTGTGAAACTGTCTTTACTCCTTCATGTGACAGACTGTTTTGCTTTCTCCTCTTCCTCCATAAATCTAAATTCATGCTTTTCATGCATTTGTGTTGTTGTAGATCACTACATGTCAGTGTTCATGGGTTACAGGTCATGCAAGTTTATATGCAGTGTGTGAATTACACCGTGGCTTTCAGGGGAGCTCCCTTTTTTATTATTGTCAGAAAAAAACATACATTTCTTGATATAAATGTTATTTAGAATTATTCCTGTTAAAACGAATGAAAAGTAGCTGTCGCTGCCTGCTTTCAGCACCAAGGACGGTCAGGTTTGCTCTTCTGTTTGACAGCAGTAGGCATCGAGAACGGTTGTTTTTTTTTTTCAGCCCCAGATTTTGTAGTTAAAGTGAGTAAAGTTTTGTTAGATATTGTGACGCCACAGTTTGATGGTGATGGCATGAGCTGCATTCATCCAGCCATTTTCTATTCACTGCTTTATCCTCTTGAGGGTTGTATGCATTCAGGTGTCTTATTAAAGTGAATTAGTGTTGAATCACATACATGCATAAATACATATATCAACATAATATAGAAAAATAGGAATACATAGCAGAGAATCACATACTGTTTTAATTTATTTCAGGAGCTCATGTCTCATTAAGAGGACCTAGCCCTTTATGGCTCCCCAGTAGGTCATGTTAGAATATTAGGCTGCTCTTGCAAGTGACATCATAAAACAATATATGTATGTTAGGAGTAACTAAGATCTTCAATGAAATGCCTCATGCTCAGATTTTTTGCGTGGTCCCTTATAATCTGTAGGCCACATAGTCAGCCCGATACTCCATTATCCATCATACAGAATCCACATACACTCACACATGTGATCTTGTTTAAGGCCACTTCTTGCCCACCTAGTGGCGGTTACCCCAAATGACCCAATATGGACATGCTGGCTGGGATGAGTTGACATTTTGGGAACAATGGTTCACTTACTTGCTGAGAATTAACAGAAGATCAATGCAACATGTGGATATTAAAAAATTAGAGGCAGCATTTGCATGGATTTGTTTAGCATAACTGCTAAAAACAAAGGTAAAGCGGGTAATCTGGCTCATGGCAGCAAACAGTGCCTCTAAAACTTATGCCTTATGAAGGTTTTACTCTTACTTCAGCACTAGCAGGCACCACAGCACAGTTTCTGATTGGAGGTAAAATATCTTTATGAATTTTTAGTGTTGAATTTAAGAGTCCACTTAGAAGACACATTTCACCACCCAAATGTACAGTGCTGTGATAAAGTATTGTCCCCCCTATAGACGGATTCAATTTCTGCAGATTTGTCATACTTGAATGTTCAAGATCATCAGACTAATTTTAATGGAAGACAAAGGTAACCCAATTAAACAAAAAATGCAGTTTTTAAATAATATCCCCCTTGAGCTATGTGAAAAAGTAATTGCCTCCTTTGCTGCCTATCTACCAAATGACCAAATTCATTTGGCAACTGGGTTCAGTTTCACCAGCAACACCCACATATGATTACTGCCAGGCTTGTTGAATCCAAACATCACTTAAGTAAAACCTGTCTGGCATTGTGAAGTAGGCTAAAGGGTCTCAAAAAGCAGCACATAATGCCATGAGCTAAAGAGATTCATGAACAGAAGTCTGGAAAGTGTTACACAGCTTTTGCTGAGGCTCTGGGACTCCAGTGAACCCCAGTGAGAGGCCTTATCCACAAGTGAGAAAACATGGAACAGCAGTGAACCTTCCCAGGAGTGGCTGGCCGACCAAAGTTTCTCAGAGAGGACGTCGATGTCTCATCCAGGAGATCACAAATGAACCCAGATGAACATCAAAAGAACTGCAGCCCTCACTTGCCTCACTGAAGGTCAGTGTACATGACACCACAATAAGGAAGATGCTGGGCTAAAATGGCATCCACGGGAGAGCTGCAAGGTGTAAACCACTACTGGCCAAAATAAGGTAAAGGGTCATCTGGTATTTGCAAAACAAAATATCTAGATGAGCCCCAAGACTTTTGGGACAACATTCTGTAAACTGATGAGTCAAGTGTGGAACCTTCTGGAAGACATCTGATGTAAAGCTAACAGTGCATTCCAGAAGAAGAACATGATTCCAACAGTGAAACCTGGTGGTACTGTGAAGGTTTGGGGCTACTTTGCTTCGACAGGACCTGGATGATTTGTCATAACTAAGGAAGCCATGAATTCTGCTGTCTGTCAGAAAATCCTTCTGGAGAATATCTGCCCATCAGTTCATGACCTAAAGCTTTAGTACAAATGGGTTCTGCAGCATGACGATGACCCAAAGCACATCAGCAAGTCCACCTTTAAAAGCCACAAAAAAAAGAAATTGAAGGTTTTGGAGTGAATGAGTCCCAGTCCAGACTTGAATCCAATTGAGATGCGGTGACAAGACCTTCAATTGGCAGTTCATGCTTGAGAACCATTTCATGTGGCTGAATTAAAACTATTCTGCAGAGAAGAGTGGGCTAAAATCCTCCACGGGCCCAACCCGTTATTAGGTTTTTGGGGAGCAATTACTTTTTCACAGGGATGATACAGGTTTTCAACAAATCTTTAACAAATCATCATTTATAAACTGCATTTTGTATTTTGTGCATTATCTCTGTCTAATATTAAACAAGCATAAATGTTAGTTTGATAATATGGAACATTTAAGTAAAATCGAGAACATCAGGAAGGGGGCAAACACTGCAGTACACAGCACAGCACTAGAGTCAAATCTTCATTCTGCTCCTGCCACATGGACTTCCTTTTAATTTCTAAGTATTGATTACACTTGACAAAAAAAAGATTTTAAGTTGCAACATCTGATAAAGCTGCACAAACAAAAGCAACCAGTTTCCTGTTTCACACTCAGCATATATGGAGCATGATTTCTGTTTCATTTAGAGATGTGTTGCTGGCCTCCTAAAGAATGTAAGTCTAATATTTATTCTTTCTTGTTTCAAATTACTTCTGCAATAGGGCAGTTCTGGATATATAAGCAATTAGTATGCTAATGATCACCCAAATGCAGTTAAGATGTTTCAGATTTTAGATTAGTGATTCCCAAGCTGAGGGTTTGGAATTTCCAAGGAATTGCAAGACAAATTGGAGGAACCAAGAGAGGCACAGGGGGGTTCAGTAAAGCAGACAACAGATAACTATAAGTGGTTGCTTCTTAAAAAAACACGTAGAATAACAACCACACAGTGACTTTTTGCTTTACCTACAAAGGGGCTGCTGTTAAGGGAACCATAGTGACACGTTTTCAGTCACATTCAGTTTGAATAATTCCAGATTGTCAACAAACTACTACACAAAAGTGCAAAGCAGACCTTTAATTAAAAGCATGAAACATGGTCAAGCTAGAATAAGCACCTCATAGTTTGTCTCCGCCGACCAGTCAAGCTGCAGTTACATCCATGTCTGTCCAGAATCGTCTAGTACATGTGGTAAAGACTTGTGTGTGTAAATTAACTGTATGTGCTCACATGGCTGCCCACAAAATCTGAATCTCAGAGATACACAAAGTTTTAGCCATGACAGTAGAAGATGCTTTAAATACGGATGATACTGCAAACAAGAGGTCAACTGACTATCAATCAGTTTGATTATTATATCCAATATTTAGTATTTTCCAATTATCAGTATCAGTATTTTTTTTGTCACTGACACTTGATAAAATACACAGATTATAAAATGTTTTATTGTGGCTTCGATGTATCTGCCTCTCTCAGTAGCTTCAAGCTATGTCCTGCCCACAGCACTATCTGATTGTTAACCTGGTACTCATGTCAATATAACAAACTAGACTGAACTGACGTTGTTTTTAACAAAGTTTTGTGCTGGGGTTTGTGTTATTAGGAATTTTGACACCAAGATTTTAATTTTAGCTGTAAATCTTGGTTTCCAATGTTGTTCATCGCCCTCCTTGGTTAGGAAAAATTGGTATCAGTATCGGCCCCGAAAAAAAAAAAAAAAACTCTACTGCAAACACATTTTTAAACTGCTGATGCGTCACACACACCTTCAACCTGACAGCACATCGATCCATACAATCACCTCAGTTTGAAGTTGGGTACCAAAGATTAGGCCCGCCAAATTAATATCCAACCAAATGTGAAATATGTTCACAATCTCCCCTTTTGTTCTTGAGTTATGGCCCTGAATAATGGAAAAAAGATAATGATGTCAGTGTGAAGTTGGCCTTCGGCCTCTTGGATATAAATTGTCTTCATGTCTGAAAAACGACAGTGAAGGTGACAACGTTTGTTCACAGAACATCTGATGCAGAGCACACACTTAATCACAGGATCCAGAAAGTCATTCCAACAATTTACTTCTTAGATGATGATGGTACAGAATAATCGATGAGTAAAGAGATGGATGATTTTTTTTCTAAACATATATGAGCTAACAAATACACAAAGACTAAATAAATACAGCTGCAGGCCAAATCAAAATGCCAGTACTAACAAACTGCTCCATGAACAAAGTTAAGCAGGCTGATGGTACTTAAACTTCATGTATGCATCCATGAACACTCTTGGTATTTCCATTTTCTTCCAGGTATTTAAGCATGGGAATCTATTCCAATTCAAATAACAGACATCTAATGAACCAATTAAAATAGCAGAATTAGCTAGAAACCCTCACTGGTTCTTTCTTTGTCTTCAGGGAAGTGGTTTGGAGGAAAAAAAGTTTTGCAGGCCTAAAGGTTGGAGTTACATATCCGTATCTAGTAGGATGACAGGTCATGCAGTACAGAGTTAGAAATGATAATTTCACATGAGGTGCTTTTACTTTTGATTTGAACAGTTGATTAGTTTTATCCTATTAGACATATTTGTGTGGAATTTTGTCAGAATTTGTGCATGGATTCTGGAGTTATGGCCAAAAATGTGTTTCACGATCACCCTTGACCTTTGACCACCAAATGCTAATCACCACATCCTTGAGTCCAAGTAAACAATTGTTAAATTGGAAGAAATTCCTTCCAGGCGTTCATGAGAAAGGAAGCAGAGAGAACAGACAGTCGTTCCAACCACCCGCTGCTGGAGTTTTGGAGGTGCTCTGCACTATTAAAATGTACCACTACAAACCATATCAACATCAAAAGCACGCACACTGTCAGCACAATGAACACTTCCGTGACTGGAGGATGCTAAAAGTTGCAAGTCTCATTTTACTTTACATATTTTAAGACTAAAAAAGACTCGTCCTAAAACAAGCAATACTAAAATAAACAGCAGTCAGCTGTCTCTCTGTCACTCTGCTTTAAACAAACAGATCAATATTAGAGATATTGAAAATGTTAACAAAGTAAAAAACTAGATTTTTATTTATTTATTTACTTTTAACCAGAAGGTGATTTTAAAGTTTATTGAATATTGAAAACATCCAGAGAAAAGAAAACTTGTTGTGAATGTATTTATCTAAAACGATTTAAGCCTCAAGCAAGTCAAAAGCAGAAATGAGATCATGTGTGAGTTGTGAGAAAGAAGAAGAAAAAGAAGAACATGAGCACCTGTTTATCTGGCCAGATAATGCAAACTAGAAGGCAGACAATGTTTGACTATAGTTGTGGTTGCATTCCTTTAGAGGAGCCTGTAATGGACCCTGATCAGGCTGGTGTACAGGGACACTGAGAAAACAGTGGGAAACATAAATTAGACATGCTCTTCTGCTATAACAAGTGAAAATGTTGTGAAATATGTCTACATGAACCCTTATTGATGGATCAACTCATATGTACCAAAACAGAGGAAAATGTTTCAATAGGAAGTGGTTTCATATGTGTGTTAGTGCATGTTTAACCAGAACCAGATGGCGTGGCCCACATCAGTCTTCTTTTAACCTCTTTACACTGGTTACCAGCATGTTTTAGAATTGATTTCACAAGATCATTGGTCAATGAGATTCCAGGTGTGGCCATGGCACCTACTGGGGGGGTTCCACTGGCTCCACTGTGCTGTTCATGGACTCTGTTCAAACTGAAACATAACGACTGATAAAACCAAGAAAGTATGTAAAATCAGGATAGATAGGAAATTAAAATGTTAGTGACTCTGCTGACCTGATTTTCTCAGACTGATCTGTTACAGAGCCTAAGAATAATGATGTTTAACACTGGATCCCTTTTATTAGCCTGTAAAACCGATAAAAGGTCATAAACGTATTTGAGAAAGAGCTGGCAGCCACCACAGACATGATGGTCAAGACCTGTCACTCACACTCCAATGTTCAATCTTTAGTTAATGCAACTACGGCATCTGAGAGCAAGTGAAAAAAGCTTTAAATGACTGTAACAGAGATGGAAGCAGCAACTAGGTGGTTGTGCTTTCACCCATAAATATCACAGAGAGCGCAATAAACCATTTGCATGACTGTTGTTGACGCAGTCGCACAAAACTTTAACAGCAGCTGAAGTTTAGTTTGTTGCTTCCAGCTATTCGTAGGACTCTTTCCTGTGAGTGCATTAAATATCTGCAACATCAGACAGCAGGAGGAAATGTATGAGTGTATGAAAGCTGTTTGCTTTTACCACAATGATTATTTATCGGTCTGTGGGGTGAACTTATGGGATAGCTTGAACAACAACTTCAAAATGAGTACAACTATAAAAGAATTAAAGAAAATGTACAAAAAAGCGTGCTTAAAAAAATATAATATTGTGGAACAGGAAAGGTGGCCTTGTGATTTCTTCAGAGATATTTAAGTAAAAGGTTTAAAGCAAGAATGATGTATGTACATATAGCAGGTCGGAGTTAATGAGTTAACCTTCATCCTACTCATTTTCATTATTTTAAGATTCTTTTCATTTTGTGTGACATAGTTTCTTCTTTTTTGTGCCTTTATGGGATGTCTGAAATAAATGATTACAAAAAACATCACCAAAGCTAGAGAGTTGCAAACATTCACAAAAAACACAACAATCGGTAACTTCTTTAATCCTTTAATTATCCCCCACATGCAGACACTGCTGATAGCTGCCACACACAGTCACAGTTTATAAGCTAATCATTTGTTATATGAATTATATGAATCCTGATCTCCTTCACAGTTGGACATTAGTCGATGAACACTGGATAATTATGTAGCAACATTAACTGCAAAATCAGAAACCAAGGCATATTAGTTGTCTATACAGTTTCTGAAGTCTTATATTGACACAGTTTTCAACTCGGCTCTACAACACAACAGCACAACAGAATTTCTGTTATTCAGCTATGAGTGTTTCTTCAGTGGGCCCATCTAGATGAGATGCCAGTGTATACAGCAGTGGAATAGTTGACGGTAATACCAGTCTGTAAGTCCAAGTCCAACAACTATTGGACATGTTGTCATGAAATCTCGTACAAACTGAATGTTTCCCTCAAGATGAATTGTAGCAGTGAACTAGTGGTTCCCTCATTGCTCATGTAGCACCATCATCAGGCCAACTTTGGTTTATGACCAAAGAACTACTGACATTAGCATCCACCCCAACTGTACTTTGTGTTTTGTGCCAATTTGCTAATGTAAGCATGCTGGCATGCCAACCTGTTACTGTGAGCATGGGAAGAATTACACCTGCCCAACATGCTATCTATACATTCATATGTACATCTCTATTTATTTCTTTTATGTTTTATTCTTTATTCTTCATCTTCATCTTCTTCTTGGTATTATTCTTATTGTTTCGGTCTGGACCAGGCGCATAATATATTTCACTGCACGTTATACTATGTATATTTGTGTTTGTGACCAATAACGGCCTTGAATCTTGAATCTGTTCGCATTCGGTTATAAAACAGCTCAGAGAGCTGCGAAAAAGCTACATAAATCCAAATGTGTGATTTTATAGTTCCTATGTCTTCAGTATTGTTCCATAATTAAGGTTCAAACTTATCTTTATCTTATCTTTACCTTTATAATCTTATAACTTTAGAACTAGAACTATCACATTAGGGGTTATTATTAACAGAAATAAAATGGACAACATCATAAACAACAATATTAAAATCACAAAATAATGAATGAAATGGAAATCCATAACAAGTACAAATATGCAAATGTGCCAATGTAGAGCAAAGACACAGCCAGAGGGCTAATTCCATTAGGTGCTCTGTAGCACTACAGATAAAAGAGACGTAGGGTCTTTTATTCTTCCTAACAGGTGCCCTTAGACGACAGCCGGAGGGCACAGCTTAAAGTCTAAATGAAGTGAATGGTCCTGGCAGTCCAATACAGCATTTGTCCTTCTATTTGTGACATAATAAATAAAACTCAGTTTCACTCCTTCCTGAAATGTTGTTCATTTGAACAAGACTTCCAAGTCTATTCTTACTGGACAAGGTTTATGTATGAAAAAGTATACAAAGAAAAATAAAGAAAAGGCCCTGAATGAGTAGCTGTTCCCAAACTTTTATCTGATAATGTGCATTTATATATGCCGTAATTTTTCACTTCACTGTGAACACTCAGAACCTGTCTGGATCTTGTATGTATGGAAAAGGGAATCCGCATGACAGTAATTAAGGATGCTCAGCACCAGAAGCCTGAAACTGAAAAAGCTAAATTTAGCCTTCACTAAATCTATTATTTACACCTATTTGAACTGTGACATGGCAGTGAGTCTTCTGTAAAAATGCTATTTAGGGTGGTTATTAAAAATACCTGATGTTGGTGTTTGACTACTGAATAAGAATGAAGAAACAGCTGCTTCCCCTGAATTATTTTGCACAAACAGTTGGTTGCACAAGACTGCAACCTTCACACTCATGTGACCGTCTTGACGTCTGCAGCTCTCTGACAGGCGACATGCTGCATCCTCCTGAGGCCAGTAGAGGGTGGTGCAGGGTTAACACACCCTCCACTACCTCGTCTGACTTAATCAGTTCAGTGTGATGTCTAACAGTGGTGTGGCCAAGGAGGGTGACAGGAAAAACAGAAGCCATAGCAAGAGCAAGACCCTGTAAACTTCATCAAATGAGCCGTCAGCTACAGGTTGGTGCTGGTGCTCACTCCTGATCTAAGTTTTTATCCTGTATTTCTTTACATCTTTGGCACCATAGACAAAAAAACAAAACAAAACATGCTGAATTAGCTATTAGCAGTTCCTGTTAGGGATGTACTCCTGGATGTACAGACAAACATGGCAGAACTGTGTTTTCTATATCGATGCCTTTGCACTTTGCTGGGTTAATTGTTTCAAATTTGGATCTTGGGTCAAAGTCTTAAATTGCAAATTTACATGAATTTATCCACACTAGCTGTTTGTAGACATCCATATATGTACAGTCACTGGACATAACAGTGTTCCTGAAAGGTTTAAATCACATCCAAAATGTAAAAAAATGCCTTTAAGTTTAGATTAGATGAAGTTTCAACTCTGAGAAGAAGGATTACAATTTGTGACCCACATTCTCTTCACGCAGCAGTCTATCTCTGCCTGGCGGGTATATTACAGAAAACATCCTGTAATTTCAAACGGTTACAGTGCAGTTAAATAAGAAAGGATCACAGTGAGGTTTTCACCCCCCCCAGCTCCCTCTGTAGCAGGATTGCTAACACAGCTACAGCAGCTTCTTTTATATCTCTTCTGTGTGTGCGCCAAAATGTCAAAGAGCACATCAAAGCACTTTAAGAGCGACTTGGCACAGATTAAAGTAGGTAAGAGTTGAAGGAAGGTGAGTGCATTTGGACACTGCCCCCTGTTATCCAGTGGAGCTGATCTTTGGAGCTGTGGTGGACTCTGACCTCCCCAGCAGCCATTGGAGTCCCATCAGTGTGTGTGCAGTCAGAGCAGTCAAACGAGGTCTGTCACTAACCGCTATGTAAGATGACAGCGAGTCTTACTCAACACCTCCAGGGGCTAAAGAAACTTGTAAGTACAATTCCATGTCTAAAAGCAAGTGTATTTGCTCGAGGGTTCAGCAGTGAGTGTGTGTGTGTGTGTAAACACTGTGCTTGCCGTGTTTCTAAATGCTAAGAGGCCACACTTTGTTTCCGTTATCTGAACTGATTACATAGTACAAAGCATGATACTGTTGTTCTCAGAAGCCTTTGTGACAGTTTCTTGAAATTTCCATTACCACAAGACATTTTCTGACTCGTTTCATCCATCATCATGAGACCAGTGTGAAAGCAACAAGCATGCTGAGAGAGAGAAAGAGCGAGAGCATGGGTAGGCCCATATGGTTGCTTGGACTCCTCAGCTATGTGTGAAAGGGATGTGAAAATGGCATCAGCTGCTTGAAACGCGTGTAGCGGGCTGCGGGTGTGAACTAAAAACTGCCTTTGTTGCATTAATTCACATGAAGTTGGTAGAATTTACTGATCAGCCGACATTTGTTCTGTTAAAAGTAGCACACTGGAATCATGAGTTTTCAGTGATTAGACGAGGAAAGTACATTTATTCCAGTTCTGCTTAGAAGTAAATACACTTTGTACTGCTTTGTACCTGTACTTTTACACCACTACATTTATTTTACAGTTCGTTATCTGTCCTATGAAGAATCTACATACAAAAAATAAGATCACTTTATGAAATATGATGCATCGCACCAAATGAACCACCTCCACCGGCTTCAATAATAAAATGCTGCTCAGATGTGAATGCAACCATAACAGTAATTACAATTATGTTAATGCTAATAATATAGCTTGTTTTTTACACTGTTGTATTGCTACTTTTTCTTAAACAAAATGACTGCTTCTTTCACTTCTGCAAATCATGATTCACCTTCATTATTGAAAAATGTTTCAGCATCCACTTCCAACCAGCATTAAACTGGATTTTTCCACTGCTTTTTATTTTCAGACAAAAGCTGCAGTGAACATGAAAATAGCCATAAATTGAACTTGAAATCAGTCTCGAATAAAGAGGAAGACTGCATTTTACCTCATTACTTAGGATCTTTTAACATTTTCCATAATATGTTTACATGCCCGTGACAGAAAGACAAGAACAAGCTGGTACGAGTAATTAAAATGAGTTTAGAAATAACTGGCAAAAGCCGGCGATCCTTCACGCAGCTCTATAAAAACAAGAGCTCAGGAGAATGCGTGCCATCATTGATTACCCAAGGGGTATGTTTTAAAACTCCAGATTGTAAAACAAACAGAAAAAAGCTTGGTTTTATTCCAGAGGCAGTCGAATTATTGAATAGTGTCCATAAGAGGAATTAGAAGTGCCCTGATCACTACATTTTTTGTAATTATCGTTATTGCTCCAGTGGACTTCATGTACAGTTGGTGTGGCCAAGTTAAGATGACATTACCAATATTTCTCAGCTCCTTATCTACTTAATAAGCAGCTTGTCATGTTTAATATTTATGCATTTATTGACTGTTGTGCTGTTTTTATTGTCACCACTGGCCATGATTTGCTCCTTGCAGGATAAGCAAAGTATAGGTCAAGTGATTATTGGCCTGCCTGATAATCGGCTGTGATATGCAGTGTTTTTATGATAATTATTAAATAACTTATATTGCTAAAAACATGTATCAGTGGATACAGAATCTGATTATGCTGTTTACAGCAGTGAAAGCAATGCTGTCTCCACAAAATTATGCTCCCATACAACTAAACTGCATTCTCATTTACATTATAAAAGAAGAAATCTAATTGTTTTTGGATATAAATATTATTTTCGCACCTGTGCTGTAAAAGGCAAAGGTTCCATGTTGAAAGAGCCACAAAGGCCACATATGGCCAACAGTGGGGAGGATGAAGGTGTAGGTTGGACCGTCACCGTGGAGACCAGCGATTGCATCCAGTATTGGAAAAGCTTAATTTTTCTAGGCACAAAAACTCTGCGGTTAAGCTTAGAAAAATATCATGATTTGGGCTAAAATACGACCCTGGAATAAAATAAATAGCAAGATGTGCTGTTTTGAAACATATCTGGGGCACATCATGAACTAACAGAATCTGGCAGAAAACACTTGTTCCTCTCAAAACGTAATTGACAATGCAGTTTAGTTGTATGGGAGTGTGATTTTTGGGGGACAGTGTTGGTAAAACGTAGCTTACAAACTACATTTATCAAACACATGCAGCTAGATTTTATCATAACCAGTTTATAATTCATAATGTTATCAGAAAAGTTGTACCAAAAAGACATGTAAACCTCACTGATGGTTTACTGAGATAACCAAAGGTCAAACAGGTCAAATTATTCAATATAAAAAATTGGCAAAGATTAGAGAAAAGTCCCAAAAGATGGCTGAAGATTTGTGTATCACCAGTTAGTTTCTTTTACGTCTTTCTTCGCCCATTAATCAGCCCCAGACCCCTCAGATCTACCTTGTGAGCCTATTTATATATGTACGCGAGGAAACACTGGACTGAACTGCCACACTATAAATAAAGTAAACAGCTCCACCTTGACGACCTATAGCGACAGTACACAGTAAGTGCTTACACATTCATGCATCAATAACAACCGTCTAACAAACTGTGTCAGCAGGCTGTTCTGCTTTTACTTTAGATACTTTAGTACATTTCGTAATTCATGCTTCTGTACTTTTTCCATAAATTGGTAACTAAATCCAAACAACTGCTGGGTATTTTTTTTGGGCGCTAAAGCATCTTTTCATTGTTGTGTTGGCGCTATCAACTGACTCTGAGCTCTGAGTTTTAATAACTTACTTTATTTGATTCATGTGATGTGAGACGAAACATCCATGAGCCAACTGGCCTCATTTCTGTGTCTAATGTGTTTTCCTACATTTCCAACATTCTGCAGATGAATATATCGACAGCAGCTTTCACTAAAACCATCACTTTTTGTTTCAGCTGATTCCTGAGTGGTTCTTAAGCACATTTCTGTTTGTTTGGGTTGTCAGATGGTAGATTTTAGGGTGACTGTCTCAGTGTTTTAAAAATAGTTTGAGTATTAGAGTAACTGTGTTTCAAAGACATTATAATCACTCAATCCTCCACATAGTGGATATTTGGCTCTGTACGAACTTTGTCTGCTATTATCACCTGCTGGTATTACAATGAATAATAACAGAGGGCTGCAGCTTCAACAATTTCTGTGCATTGCAAAAAAATCACTGCAGATTCACTATGAAATATAATAAAAAAAAATTAATAAATGAATCAAATCTAAAGAAGTAATATTTTCCAACTTACTGCTAGTGGTATCAATTAAGTGTTGTATTAAAATTGACATCAAACTCTTGTGTTCAAGACTTGTGCACAACAGAACATAAATATCCTGAGCATGGACAACAACATGCAAAAATCCCAACAAATATACAGTTCACATGTACAGAACTGTCGACCTGCAACAACAACAAAAAATTACTGCCGCTTTTAAAGCCCTCAAGTACAATATTTTAAAAATATTTTAAAAGTACCTTTCCCTTTCAATTTTTTCAAGTTCCAATTACACCTGCATGATGCAGTGGCTGCAAAGTGGCTCGGTGGTTAGCACCGTTGCCTCACAGCAAGAAGGTCGCCGGTTTGCGTCCCGTTGAGGACACCTGGGATCTTTCTGTGTGGAGTTTGCATGTTCTCTCTGTGCAGCGTGGGTTCTCTCCGGGTTCTCCGGCTTCCTCCCACACAATCCAAAAACATGTTGAGGTTAACTGGTGATTCTAAATTGTCCGTAGGTGTGAATGTGTGTGTGCTTGGTTGTCTGTCTCTAAGTGTAGCCCTGTGATAGACTGGTGACCTGTCCAGGGTGTCCCCTGCCTTCACCCTAAATCAGCTGGGATAGACTCCAGCCCCCCCACGACCCTAGTGAGGATAAAGCGGTGTTCAGATAATGGATAGATGGATGATGCATTAGGTTAAAATGTCCTGTGATTGAAACTTTAAAATGACTGCTGTGATCAGAGATGACTTGGCAGTTTTTGCAGATAAATAATGTGCAGTGCAACTCCTTTCGGTTGACTTAAGATGCCCACGAGTCATTCTCAGTGTGTTTGTGGTTATATGTGAACATGCTGTTGGTTTTATTTACTCAGATTGTCAGAGACACCAACTCTGAGATTTCTGCCTCCCTGTGCAGGAGGTTAAAAAGCTGGCTGCCTAAAACAAAACTTTCTGCACTGTGCTAAATGTCACTCTATGTGAGCAGGAAAAAAAGCCTATTTGTGGCGTTTTTCTGTAGTAACCTCTCAGTTACTTTTTTTTTAACCAGCTATTTCACCGTGTAAAACCCTCGACTAGTGTTCTGTAGCTTATATAGGAAATCCGAGTTGTTAGCCCACAGAAAACAAACTTATCTCGCAGAAAAGTCTCTTACTTCATTAAAAGTGAGAGTTTTGTTGAAGCTTAATCTTAATCAGCGATTCATTACAAAAGAAAGTTCTGGTAACTTCTTCTATTTCTTTTAGTCTAGGAATGCAGGACAAACTGTTTTCAATCTGTTTATTCAGGAATACTTTAAATTCTCTAGAAATCCCTCCTTTTTCTGACCTGAACAGTTACATAATGGAAGCTGTTGTGTCTATTTTAGGACATAATGTGTGTCAGAGGAGTCAGACAGTTGTGTCTTTTAATCAAAGTAAATCAATTTAAACTGTCATAAAAATAAGTATTGAGACACTTCTTGCACCATTACTGTCAGAAGCATGTCACAGGGGTCGCACTGAGAAACATTAAACTTGAATTTGTTGTGACTGCAAACAGCACAGCAACAGCAGTCATTAGGAATAAAGCCTGACACAAAAATACTGCAATTAAAAATAACCTAAGCTCATTTGTAGGCATGGAATTCCTAGTGGATATAGTTTGGAGCTAATTTAATTCAGAGTAAATTAACAGTACAGACTCTGAGCTGGGTAAATCCCAAACTTAAGAAATTGAAATAAATGGCTCGAGGTTTCAATTTTTTTTCTTCTTTGCCTCACTGTGCAAAGTGTAACATTTAAAACCTTACAATCAATATTCAAAGCTTCTGACTTTTGTTTTTCCAGGTATGACACACAGCAGAGGTGGAACTATTTCCTTCAGACGCGTTTTCTCCGACTGATCCGGCTGCAGCATGGCTCTCCTCATCCACATGCTGGCCTGCGCCTTTGGCCTCGGCTCCTGGGTGGCAGTGAATGGCCTGTGGGTGGAACTGCCGCTCATCGTCAACACCCTCCCTGAAGGATGGGAACTCCCCTCCTATCTGACAGTCATCATCCAGCTGGCCAACCTGGGGCCTCTGTTGGTCACCGTCATGCACAAGCTGTGCCCGGGTCGACTTAAGGAGCGCGTCGTCATTTACTCCATTCTCTCCATCGGCATCCTCTCCTGCATCCTGCTCGCCTTCTTCTGGGACAGGACCACGATTGTGGCCGGGGCATCACATAGCACGGCCTTCTTCATCATCACCTTCTTCCTCTCGCTGGTAGACTGCACTTCCTCAGTTACCTTCCTGCCTTTCATGATGCAACTTCCGGCAAAATACATCACCACATATTTTATTGGAGAGGGGTTAAGTGGTTTCATTCCGGGTGTTGTCGCTCTGGCACAAGGTGTGGGCATGGCCAAATGTGTCAACTCCTCTCAGGCTGGAGGAAACCACACTGGCGGGAACATGTGGTCATTACACACAGAATATCTTCCGCCAAACTTTTCCACCGAAGTGTTCTTTTTCTTCCTGGCAGCCATGATGTGCATAAGTTTGGCTGCTTTTGTTGCACTGAACAGGCTTCCTCGGACCTTTGAGCTGTCCACCGAAAACCTTGTGCCGGATACCGTGGCATCTGTCAGCTCCGGCCTCGACAACCCCGGAGCAGAGACTGAGGGAGGTTCTGATAAAAAACAGGGTAAAGGGGCAGCTGAAAGAAGGCCACTGCTGGCAAAACACTCTGTGTACCAGCTGACCTTCATCTATTTTTTGGTGGTGTGGGTTAATTCTGCGACAAACGGTGTGCTGCCCTCAGTGCAGACGTACTCCTGTATGCCGTACGGGAACCTGGCCTATCACCTCTCTGCTGCTCTGGCGTCAGTGGCTAACCCAGTGGCCTGCACTATTGCAATGTTCTTCCAAAACAGGTAAAAAACACAGATTATTCTATCAAAGAATGGTTTTACATTTGTTTTAAAATCTGCCTAAAACAATAATGAGATGACCATGTGAACATTTAAACAGGTTTTTCTTACTGTGCTGCATTCATTTGCTCATACTGCTATTAAGAGCTTTCTTCCTAATGATTTTTGACTGGTTAATTTTCATGGTAGCTGTTTTTTCTGTGGTTACAAAATGAATGCACAGTGTTACAATCAGTTGCCCAGTTCACAAGGAAAATGCTCTTTTTTTTTTTTTTAGTTTGGACATAATGACATGAAGTTGCTTCTTTAAATGATGTGACTGTTTTTCCAGAGTTGCAATATTTTTATTGCAAAATTTCACAGCAGCTCAGGAAGGAAGCGCTTCTGGAACAACTTTATTTGTCCTACAACTGCTGAAGTTTGAAATATTCTAATACTGTATTGCACCAAATAAGAACCATGGATTCGGTGTTATTGGCCTGGATGAACAGCAGGAGCAACTACAGCAAGCAAAATCTGTTTATGTACATGTGGAGATCTGAATATTGTCTTAGGAAGGACATGAAAATGTACAACCCATCTTTCAACTTATTTTTTCCCACAGTCACTTAATTAAATGGCTTGGGCACAAAGTTTATGTCAAATGCTCAATTAAACAATCAAACCTTCCCTTGAAAGATGAGTTGTCACTTATCTTTAATTATAAGTGGTTTCTAAGAATGAAGGAACCTGCCAGCTGATAACAAGCCTCCTTTGTGTTCAGGTCACTGGTTTTTCTTGGAGTGCTGCTGGTGTTGGGGACGGGATTTGGCAGCTATAACATGGCCATGGCAGCTATGAGTCCGTGTCCTTTGCTTCGAGGGTCAGCAGCGGGAGAGGCGATCATTGTGAGTGAATCACAAACATGTTCTGTAAGAACAAACACAGAGAAGAATTTCACACTTGCTTTGTCAGACATATGCTTGTGGCAAAGTTCAACTCCTCCTTTACAACCCACCTGAGAGCTGAACTCTGCTCACTCACATAAATGATGAGGTAGCGTATTTGGACCGTTAGTGTGAAATCCTGCTTCGTTTTTCAAACAAATTCAACAAATTATGATAAAATGTTCCCACATTTTTATCCAAATGAGCTGCTGACTCATTGTTGTTGCTTTTGTTTTGTTTTGTTTTGTTTTTTCTTTGCCCTCACCAGGTGCTGTCGTGGCTCCTCTTCACTGGAACGCTGTCTTATGTCAAAGTGATGGTGGGCGTCATCCTGCGAGACCGGAGCCACAATGCTCTGGTCTGGTGTGGAGCTGCACAACAGATTGGCTCACTGGTTGGCTCTGTCATCATGTTCCCGCTGGTTAACGTACTCCAGCTGTTTAAGTCAGGAGACTTCTGCAATACTGAATGTCCGTCATGAGTCTGAGACCCACAGTCCTGAGGAGGAGCTACAGTCTCTCATTTCAAGGAATAGATTGACGTGTTGGGCAGTGTGGTCTTTTGATTTCTTGCTGAGAGTTAGATGTTGAATTATCTTATTTTGCCACAGCTGGCGTAGCTGGCTTCTGGTCTTAGAAGAAGATGTAAATAAGGCTTATGTTTAATGTGTAGCATTACCTTACACTTTAAAAACACCTAAAAGCACTTGACAATATGGATGTTTATAATTTTTCCAAAAATGAACATTTACATGGGTAATGTCTGATGGTTGGAAGATGCACTTGGTTGAGATTCACTGGCATTTTGTAACTTTACTGCAAATGTAACATAAGTTTGAGCTAGTTCTCGCTTGGCTTGGAAGCATAACATCATCCTTCATCAGTCAAACTATCTGCCTTTTCATTAAACCTGTAGAGTGATGGTGTTTTTATTATTATTTTAATGCCTGTGCTGGTTTAGTCATATTGTGAACACTTTCTCCAATACGATAGCTATATAATTGAAATAAAACACGTACAAAATTATCTGCTTCACTTAAATAGTGCTTAAGTCACATGCTAAAAGTAAAATATAATTGAATGAATGTAACACTAAAAAACTTAGAATTGAACTGTATACAACTGAAGCCGAAACAAGTTCTCTGGTGGTAAAAGTCTGTGTAGCAAGTTTAATGTCAGCAAAGTTGCTATGAAGCCCTACAAGTTGGTTTTGTGAATGTTTGGGTGCGTTGCATTGTTGGACACAGTCGGTGAGGTCCAATCCATAATGGAGTGTTCTTTTTAGAACAAATCAGTACATACTGCTAGTATAGCAGGTATTTTTAAACACAGCCAATAAGAAAGGAGGAGTCTGACTTTGTCCGAAGCACAACAATAACATACTAACGAATGTGCTACATCTTGCGCTAATTCGAGCACAAACTGAAATATAAATACGACAAGTTGTGCTTTTTGGAGAGTTTTGTGCTAAAGTGATTTCTTGACAATCCCTAAAAGTGTGTTAAAAGCACAGAACTCCTCACAACATCACAACTTGTCGCATTGCACATTGTTTTTTGTAGTGAGTAAACAAACATAACTTAGTGAGCAATGTACAAAGGTAATTTTGTTTCCTCAACTTTGGATAGAGAACCGACTCCTTGCTTCAGATTCAGCGTACATGAATGAGACTGATATCAATTTTCTCATCCTTTGCATTTACTGTCTTTCCAATGCAGCATCTCAAATTTTGTCTATGTTTGTACAATTTAACCCTCGATAAGAAAGCTATAACTTGTAAAAAATAAATAATCAAATAAAAAACAAGAAGTTTCACAGTGGGGTACAGCTGTTGTATTTTATACTTGTCAAAAAGTGCGTTGCACCAGTCATGAACCTGGCAGCTTGTCTGGCCACTAGATGTCACAAGCACACCTTTTAAAACCTGTTAGTCCACAAGCTGCAGGCACAGTGTCCAAATGAAATACAGTTATGCTGTGTGCATAAAAAACGGGGGTTCAAATTGATTTTTCACTGGTAAGCTACAGATAAAAAGCTGATGTTTATGCACCTATTACATGGGATATTCTCACTTTAACGTCATCCATGTATAAAACGAACAACTAATAAAAACAGGTAGCATTTTATTATTGTGACTATGGCTGTAGAGTGTCAGGACATGCACAGCTACTTATCGTGTTATGCCAACAGCTCCGGCTTAGGAAGAGTTGCTGGGATGTCCAAGTCTTGTGAAATACACTTCGTCCTGCAGTAAATATAAATAGTTGAGTTCATGTTAAATTGTTGAGCTGCAAAACAGGTTTACTTAAGAACAGTGCTTCAGTATTTCCATTTTATACCACTTCAGACTTCTACTTGAACACATTTCAGAGAGAACTATTTTACTTTTTACTTTACTGCATGTATTTCACAGGTGTTTTTACAGATTAAGTTTTAATATTAAAGAAACACAGACTAGTTTGTAAAACACAACAAGATTAAAGCAGTGATTTGACTTGTGACCTCTTCCCAAAAAAGGAGTGTGTAGCTGTGTTTTTATTTATGTCAGAAAGCAAAGATTCCCCTTCTTAACCTTTTAGTTAGTTTCATTTAAATGACTGTTCTGGGTCCACAGAGGCAAAATTACCCAGTGGTTCACATTGGAATAAATATTAGAGAATTTGCTTTTAAAAGAAAAAAAAAAAAAAAGATGACATATTTGTGTAGCAGAAGAAATTCGCTTTTTCTTTTTTTTTTTCTTTCCAATGAATCATCTAGTGTCCCCTCAGATTTATCTTAATGTGGTTTGACTCTAAGATTTAGAACCAAAGTACCTAAATATATTTAAGAAGAGGAACCAGCACCACTTGCATCGACTACCACAGTGAAATGCTGCTTACACACTGTTGCATCAGTGTTTAAAAATTAATAGTGTCATATATTAATGAGTGAGTCACAGCGGCCACTTTTCTGCAGAATGAGTACTTTGATATTTATGTTACTTGAGCAGGGTTTTGAATGTAGGCCTTTCAATTGTAATGGAATATTTTTACATGGCTGTATTGGAGCTTTTTCCACTTCTGAAACATTTAGTCATCAGACTGAGCATTTTATAGTCCAGCAGACAGTTTTATTTTAAAGTGACCATTATAAGTCCTGCATATAATAATGTTACCGTCCACTTATTGCAATTTACTGTTCATGCGATGCATTTGTTCTCACGCTTTTCTCATTAATAAACACCAGCTAATCTGATGCCAAACAACAACAACAACAACAAACCAAAAACAAAATAAAGCAAGATACACCACCATGAGAAACCAGACAGACCGTGATCCCATAATATGTCTGGACCGAGCCCCTTATCATCCCTATCAAAGATGCTGCTGCACATTCTCTGAGGAGAATGGAGGGACGCTGGTCATGCATGGGAACTGGAGAGTGGTTTCCCGTCTGCAGCTGTTCCTCCTCTCTGCCCCCCATGCCCTTCAGAAGGAGAGCGAGAGGTTCCCCGGCCGGGTCTGTAGGGACGCACTGGGGGGAGGAGGAGGAGAAGGAGGGCTCTAATTACTGATGCTCAGCGGGGGCCGATGGCTGTTGCTCCTGCCGCTGGTCACTTGGGAGCTTCCCTGACCCCGACACTGAGTAAAAACAAAAAGATAAGGAAGGGAAAATGGGGCCACAATTAGCCCTATGTAGCCTCCAGGGCCCAGGATCAGTGGAGGAGAAGCACAGATGGGACTTTCTCACTTGGATTTGCTGATTCTACATTGCAGTACGCGTAAGCCGTGCAGAAATCACTGCAGTCGGTTGCCGATGCAGATTCGAAGGATGGCTTTGTATGAAATCTTAATCACCTCAAACAATAGATTTATTATTTTTTTGCCTTGAAACACAAAATCAGAGCACGGTTATAATGTGGGACTGTTCACCTGAAGACTAAATGTAAATGCTGTTCTGTTGTTAATGTGACCTTGAATACTTGTATGTAATCAAAAGGATTTTCTCCACGCTTCATTAGCTAAATTCCTTGATTGGCTCAGGGCTTTTGTGTCGAGACAAAACAAAGCAGCAAAGAAAAGTGTATCATTTTCCTGCAAGTGTCAGATGGTCCCATCGCTACTCCAGCTGGTCAGGAGGGGCTGTGGCCACCTGGATGCTGAGTCCCAGTCCTGTGAGATCCTGCAGTCTCCTCTGCCATGTGAAGACTCCACTTACTACGCCACTGAGAAGTCCATCTGCTCAGGTCGACACCTCCCAAAGAGTCCCCTCCTCTCTACCACGGCTCCCCCTCGGCTCCCCTCCCTCCAGCCAGCCTCTGCGCCTCTCAACTAAATGAGCAGCGTGTCAAATGGAAGGAGGATTTACCCTTCCTTTAACTGGATAAGAGAATGAATTCACAGCACCATGATGCAATGAATGGATGAACCCACCTGCACTCCTTCAGCGTGGCTGCTGAATCGACAGATATGTCACCTGTGTCTGACTTTGCACGATCTGCTTGTTCTGAGGCACGAATCCAGGGTTCACCTAGTAGCATGTTAGCCTTTAACAGGATATAGTATAAAAGCATGGCCATACAAGAAGAATGTAAAATGTTTTTAGGCCAAAAACAACAAAAATAAAGCACAGAAAGTGTGGAAATTTGCTCGCATGTACCCGGAGGCAGACAGATTTTGGCAGCTGATGTTCAGGTGAACAGCTTGTGGGTAAACCAATTGCTGATGCATGCAGACAGGCACAGCTCAGACAGCATCTCACAGCCTCTCTCCCATCAATTTCCACACACACTCTGTTTAATAAATGCCATCCATTTATTTGAAATTGGATGTGACAGCCCTGTGTCATTTCACTATAGTGTCTCAGAGCAGACAGTGATGCACACAGGCCCACTCCTCGTTTTCTATCAGCAGGTATTGATGTTGCTTTAATGAAGTGCCTAGCACTCCACCCAAGGAAGAGACAAGTCTGTCAGCATATGTAAATGCTTCCTGCCTGTCATTGTTGTGGAGGGTTCAGCATGGGTCAGCATAGATTCCCCCTCTGGGAACCCTTTGTTCTGGGGCCCGACTGTGCCACATGAGGGGACCAATTACAGAGCTGCACAGCAGGACGGGGGTGCAAACTTGTTACCCTGCTGTAGTGAGCTAATTATTACCTCCGCACTGTGAGTAGTAGTATATAGCCAGTGCATTGTGGACGGATAACAAAAACAGGCTTGTGTTTATGCATATACAATCAAAATAATTTCCAATATATGATAAGACTATTCCCCTCTGTGAATTCATTTATACTGAAAGCACCATCATCACAGTTTGGGAAAAGGTCATCCTAATTTTACAGTCATAAATAGCTACTGAACTACCTAAATCCCAGAGGAGCTTCTTTGCATTGTCAATGCAAAGGCAATTTACAGGCTACAGACTGCCAACCACATAACCTTGATTTGGTGTCAAGAAATGATTTATGAAAATGCATCCTGCTCCCTCTGTCCCGAGTGAGACCTGACTGGACCCGGAGTGTTGACACAAAGCCCATATGGCCTAGCAAACACACTCGCTGAATTATCATTCATATCATAACATCTCAATGGGCTTTGGCTTCCAGTTCCTGATGAGATACTGGCAGTCTGTTTCTCATCAAGGAGTGCAAGGGTTTTGCCAGGTTTTCACCAAGCAACAAAATATTTCAGCTGACATGCAAAATAATGCTTTATCTCGATGCCAGTGACTATAGATATAAGGCACACATTTGATGGAAAGTAACAATAACTAAGGCAGCCTAAATGTGTAAACACACCTGCATTAACGCGAGTGTTTTGGAGGGTAAAGTAAAGGGTATATTTCAGGACAAAATACCAAATACACCTCTTGATGCATATAGACGCCCTTCGCTTCATGCTATTAGCTCCCTCCCCTTATATGCAACCCATTCATCTCCTTCTCCCCACCCCCAGTGACCAGTCTAGCCCAGCTGCTAGGGGCTACCAGTCCCCCTTCGTGTGTGGGACCAGTCAAGTGGAAAATGGCTGCTACTGAGAGAGCCCACTTTAGAGAGCCATCATCCTTTGAAGGGGCATGATGGCCTTTGACAGCCACAGTGTTAACATGGAGCCCACATGAACACAGCACTGCTATTATCGTGTTTACTAAAGCAAAAGGAGAGGAGAGGGGATCAAGGGGAGACCCTGTTGGTTGATGTTTGAATCCAGGAGTAGTGGGCTGCTCGTCTGAGCCACGCCACAGCGGCATTGTGGGGAAACATGACAAGGGATCACTCACAGCCAGGTGGCGATTGTATTTCAACACGTCAGTCGAGCTTTTAGTGAGCAGGTTGTTTAGTGTGTGAGGAGGCGATGTGTTGTTGTTTGCCTTGCGCGTTCTTCTCTGGGAACAGTGTGATTACTATCGAACCATTTGCCTGTTTCAGTCAGACACTGCAGCTAAGAATACCCCTGCACAGTTATTCTCATTTGGTTTGGCCAAAAAAGAATACAAATCCTGACTCTCAAAACACCATGTGCAAATCTCAAAGGTATAGTTTGTTTTTCACAACAATTTGTGCATTTCTTGTTGCTTTTACAGACCAGTCTAGCACCTAAGTACAAATACCTTCATATTATCCAGAATATTTTCATGCAGAAAGATTTGCTATGTGTATAATGGCATATCTGATACATCATAACATGGCCAATGAGGTGTTGGATTGAATTTACATGTGTTTTTTGTTTTTTTTTAAGTTACTTTTTTGGCCTTTGTGCCTTTATTTGACAGTGCAGTGAGAGAGAGACAGGAAAGTGTGGGAAAAGGCCATGAGCGGGATTCGAACCCATGACC